AATCACCAATTAGCCTCCTATATGGTTTACCCTCCAAGCTCCTCAAGAAACTTCAGCTCATTCAAAACTCTGCTGCCCGACTCCTCACACCCACCCACTCACGTGATCACATCACCCCAGTCCTCCAACATCTCCACTGGCTCCCTGTCAAAGAACGCATTACGTTCAAGATCCTCCTCCTCACCCACAAAGCCCTTCATCATCTGGCCCCCTCCTACCTCACAGACTTGCTCCAGCACCACACCCCTTCCCGCAGCCTTCGTTCCTCCTCTGGTCACCTCTTCACCCCACCACCAAGGACCAAGCACTGAACTTTGGGGGTACAGAGCCTTTTCTGTTGCTGCTCCCACCCTCTGGAACTCCCTTCCATCTCAGATGCCCATGGCCAGTGGATGTACACGTTGAGTCATTTCAGCAGGTACCATTAGATTGGCACAATTCACAACAACATATCAAATCAATTTTTGCATCTTCACCATTTGTGTGTGGAGTTTTGCTGCTAACACAATGTTATGGGAATTTCTGAACCTCTGTCCCAGTTTATCGGCTGTAAATACTACAGTGGACTTCAACAGATTGCTCAGTTCATGTCCATGCAGGTGCTAGGGTCAGATTTTGGTCACTTACTGACACCAACCAGGACCTACCATTAGCCCAGGAACGCTGTCGGGGTCTACTTTGGACACAAAGTTGATGGTAGTTGAACCTGTCTTGTTAATCCTCATTGATCTGCTCAACATGGCTTCCAGCAAGTACACAACTTTACCAACAGAACCTCTGAAGGAGCAGGGCATATCGCTGATGCACAATCCCAGATGGACAGACAAAAGTGAGACAATTTTATACATCTTTTCTAAATGATGTCATGGAATCTATCCAACCAAAATAAAGTCTACATGACCATAACAAGTAGGGAAGCCCTTTGAATTAACTGGTTTCCTGCATTAATTCATCATGTCATTTGATTTTCATCTGAGTCACAACTACAGACAAACAGTGTGCAAAAGCTAACACAATGCAAACAATCAGGATCCTCTGAGTTTCTTGAACACATCCATTTTACATTCCCAGTGCTGGTGGGGAAAACAAGCAAGCCCTTGGATATAATAAAAACTCAGAATGAGGTATGAAGGGGTTTGTAGAATGTGATGTATAATATATATA